TAGACTAATGTTGACTATTGTAAATCATGTTGCAGTGAACGTGGGGGTGCATGTATCTTTTCAAGTTAGTGCTTTCATTTTGTTCAGATAAATATCCAAAAGTGGAATTGCTGGATCATATGGTAGTTCTATTTTTAATTTTTCGAGGAATCTCCATAGTGTTTTCCAGTGTGGCTGCACCAATTTACACTCCCACCAACAGAGCACAAGTGTTCCTTTTCACCACATCCTCATAAACAATTTTTATCCCTGCTATTTTTGATAGTAGCCACTCTAACAGGAGTAGGGTGATATTTTGTGGTTTTGATTTGCATTTCCCATATGATTAGTGATGTTGAGCACCTTTTCATATATCTGTGGAACTATTTTTTCATAAAACAATCCTATTCGGATAGCCAAATGCAGATTTAAAAGAAAATTCCAGCAATTACTTTGATCTCTATCTACTACACTACTAAGATGTCCTATGGTGTACGGGAATACTTGCTACCAGGCTTTTTGTTTTTTTCTTCTATATTCTTTTGTTTGTCTATTTATTTTGAGAGAGAGAGAGAGAGAGAGAGAGAGAGAGAGAGAGAGAGCGCTCACACACAAGCAGGAGAAGAGCAGAGAAAGAGAGAATCCCAAGCAAGCTCTGTATTGTAAGTGCGGAGCCTGACATGGGGCTCGATCCTGTGAATCGTGAGATCGTGACCCAAGCTGAAATCAAGAGTCAGACGCTTAACCAACTGAACCACTCAGGTGCAGACTTTTGTCTCCTCTCTTCCCATCAGTAGGTCAGCTGTTCCTTCTCACTACTCCTTTTCTCCTCCAATCAGGTGTATGGTTGAAAACCACATAACCATATTTGTTGCAAGTGTATGTAATATCAAAGCATGCAGTTTTTGAGTGAGGAACTGTCCTCCGCATAATACATTTCTACTCTTAGGCATAAACTGTGGGAAAATTTATGATCTTCACCATTTCCAATCATATTTCACTCCTTTTTAATTGTGTGGTAAAGAGGACAGCTTTCTAAATAACTGAATTTCACATAGATAAGAACCTTTGTGTTCTGAACACTGCCCACCTTGTGCCTATTTCCTAATCTGTGGGCCTGAAGACACCAGTGGGGATGCAAGTACAAGGGGATAGCCACTATGGGTCAGAGTTATAGGTAGGGTGACCAGAAACCTTATGATCTATGGAGGAAAGGAGTATTGACAGTTCAGACAGTTCTTTTATTTCTAAATGCCTCACTGTACATTTTCCTAAAAGAACAACATTCTCAAACATAACCATGATATATGGGGAGGCCAGAGACCAGAAAAGTCAGGGTTCAGTTCTGAAGAAGGCTCCAGAAGCATCAGACTCAACAGCAGAGTGAAAAGCTACAAACCAAACAGACAAGAGACAAATAATTATTCCTCACTTTTTGTTGTGGTTATGATGCGTAACAAATGGCCCCCAAACTTATTTACAACAATAAACCTCTATTTCTCTATCATATGTTTGTTGGGCCAACTGTGGCTCTGCTTTGGTTTGGCTGGCCTTGATAGGGCTTGTGTAGACTGGGGCGTGGGGTTTGGGTCCACATGGAACAGGTTGAGAGAGCAGTCATTATCTAAGGCATGTGGTTCTGGCAGAGGTTGGAAGGACAAGAAGCAAAAGCAGACACAGGTGATGCCTCTGCTTAGAACTTGCACATGTCATTTCCTCCACATGGCCCAGCCCAGAGTCAATGAGTGGGGAAGTCCACTTGGTGAACAAAGGTGGGAAGGAGGAATTGTAAACAAATAATATATTCTACCACAATAGTTGATAAGAGAAGAAACTTGTTGGGAAGAGCAAAAAGGATGGATGCTTAGCATTTCAGGATGTGAAAGCACAGACAAGAGGGCAGCTCCCGGAAGCTCCAGGCACATGCGTGACCTGATAATGACACAGAGCTGAGCAGGATTCCAAGCTCAATGAGAGGACTGTGCGTCCCAGCAGGTAGGGCAGCCCAGCCCAGAGCCTGCAGTCTTCTGAAAGTGAATCTCACCACTACGGGGCTTGCTTTTTACCTTTCAGCATTCAGCACTTTTTCATCTTCATCAAGCACTAATGTGATTCTTTTCTGGCTGGTTACACAAATAAAAATTTACCAGCTGGGCCACAATTAAATTTAATTAGATACTTCAACAACAACAAAAAATGTTCAACTTACCTATTACATGTTCAACCAGTCTATCTTAGTCCATGTTTTTCCATTCATGCTTCTTTCCTGAAATTATAGTTTTTATTTTGAAATCTTATCAGTAATTCTACACCATGATCATTAACCAAACGTTTCCAACTATGAAGGTGATGTCATTCACTCTGGCACTTTGACTTGAAAAATCCAAGTAGTCTGAGCTCCTGTATCATACCTACTGAGTTGCCAAATACAGGAACCTTTACCTGTTGAATGCCTCTTGCTTCCATCTTCCGTCTATTCCTGCCACCACCTGGTGCTTATCACCTCTCACCTTGGGAGCCTCATAAGCAGTTACTACACTCCATCACTACATTATGAGTTTTATTTTTTCTTTTAACTTTATCTTGACATAATTTTGATCTGTAGAAAACTTGTAAGAAAAATACAAAGAATTCCAGAATACCTTTCACCTGGGTTCCCCAAATATTAAAATTTAATCACATTTCTGTTTCATTCTCTCTCTCTAAATAGGTAGGTGGGAACACACACACACACACACACACACACACACACACTATACATGTGTGTAGCAGTATACACATTACACGTACATGTACTACATGTCTATATATCCTCATTTCTGAACCGTTTGACAGTTCAGATATATGTCCTTTTATTTCTAAATGCCTCAGTGTACCTTTTCCCAAAAGAAGAATATTCTCAAGCATAACCATGATATAATTATTGAAATCTGGAATTCCATTGACACAATACTATTTTCTAATGTATGGACCTTACTTAGATTTTTGCCAATTATCCCAACAATTCCCTTAGCGCTAAAAAAAAAAATCCCCAAATCACCTGTTGCATTCAATTTTTTTTTTCAACGTTTTATTTATTTTTGGGACAGAGAGAGACAGAGCATGAACGGAGGAGGGGCAGAGAGAGAGGGAGACACGAATCGGAAACAGGCTCCAGGCTCTGAGCCATCAGCCCAGAGCCTGACGCGGGGCTCGAACTCACGGACCGCGAGATCTTGACCTGGCTGAAGTCGGACGCTTAACCGACTGCGCCACCCAGGCGCCCCAATCACCTGTTGCATTCAGTTGTCATGTTTATTTAGTTTACTTTGGAATAATTTGTCTTTGTCATTCATGGCAGTAATAATTTAAAGTATACAGGCCAGTAATTTTATACAGTACTCCTCACTTGGAGTTTGATGCTTTCTCACTATTAATATAACTCTTTTTAAAGCTCCAAGCTGGCCAGGAAAATACCTTTAGTCACTGCCTGTTACATCCCCAGGAAAGTTCATATTCTCTGGCCTCAAGAATCTGACTGCTCCTCTCTCCAATCTGACTTTTTATACCACAGCCAGACTGGACTACATAGTCTAATATCATCTCTGACTGTCTTAAGATGTTCCTTCATACTGGATCGTTCTCTCCACTCCCATCTCCCCAGTTGATATATACCCTTCACTGTTTCCCCAGAGTGAATGCAAATATCACCTGAAACTGTCCATATTTTCTCCCCAGTCATAGAACCATTGTCTCCCTTTATGGGACTTCTTTTGGCTTTCTTTGAGTTTTATGTTATCCCCAGCAAAATTAGGATGGATTATGAAACACAAATCTATGAACACTTAGAAAAAAAAAAGGAAGGAAGCAATCACCAGAAGCCAGCTTCTCACAGTGAGGGCAAGCTCTATCCGCATAATCTCATCCCCTTCTGTGATAAGGTCATAGGACTAAAGACTCACGGAAATAATAGAGGCATCCCCAACTGAGCAAGGTATGTGACCAAGACTTACAGTGTGAACAAGGTGTAGAAATATAAGCAGCTTATTACTGTTGACATACAGATTCCTGGCCTCTGGAGCTCTCCTCCCCCTAAATATTGAGCCACTGATCCCCCAACAATAGGTTCAGCCTTACTCGGAGGCTATCAGGGGATCTAGTCTGGGTCACACTTGTGGCCTGTCCAGCTCTGTATCTGCTGCCTTTTTAGTCTGCTTTCTTGCTTCTGAAACCAAGTCCCCACTAGGTATCCAAGTTCTGGTAACTAGACCCAGTTCTTACTGGCTTTCTATACTGTACTACTTATCTTTGTTGCATTCTTGATCTTTTATTAACTCTAACACCACGCATCGATTCTACTATATCTTCCCCTGGGAATTGGAGTCCTGCCCATGAACTTGACCAACACTTTTCACGAGATCATAGATTGTTTTCCTGGTGCTAAATGTTCCCCTGGATTTGCAAATATTTGCCCTACCGCTCTGCCCATTCACCTTTTAGATCAAGGCCATTACATTAGGTAGTTCTCATTTTTTGCCTTTCCCAGTTGATTACTTGATTATTGTCTGTTAACATGATTTCCAGATACTGGCTGATACTTGACTGGGTTCTTTCTAGCATTGACGTGCAGATCTGCCTTCTGATGCCAGGCTTCCCCTTTGGCAGGTGTGCTTTTATATGTAGATCCTTTCCAAGTTATCCTAACCTGCCATTCCTGGCCATAAATAGCCATGCTAGCTCTCATTACTGCAGAGTGTTAGCTAATTAAACAACCATATGTGTGGGCTGTTGATTGCTGGATCAGTGTCAATTTGGCAGGACACCTCTAGAGAATACTGAAGGGCTCTGGATTTGGTGCTACACGTCAACCATTTATTTTAATTTTTTTCAATCAAGGACTAGGAGGAAGGTAGAAAAAATGTTCATCACATTTTGCAGTATCTGTAGCCTGGGGAAACACTGAATATAGACCTTTGATACTTTAAGAATATTCTAAGACTACTATAAAAGGGGAAAGCAAAGAATATAAATATTAAAACTGATCAATGTAAAGACCTTTACTTAGGTTCTAAACAAAATTTCTCAAGTACAGGAGAGGAAAAATCTGGCTTACAGTGATTTATAGTTGACAGGCCAGCAACACAGAACTACAAGTAGCTCCTTTTTACACGAGCTGCTTCTTATCCTCTGGGGCTTCACTTGACTTTTCTCTTCTGTCTTAGAAAGTCCTTCCCAATTCCTTCCATCTGCTCAACTCTTTTGTATCCTATGAGACCACTGCCTTCCCTAGGGGCTTTGGTCCTCTTCTGTGGCCCCTGTGTGTTCTCCGTCATTGTATTAACCACGTTATGTAAGAGGTAGATGGCCTATGTCCATCTCCCAAAGGAGCTGCGAGAACTCTGATATCTGGACATAGGTCTTCTTCATCTTTGATAGCTAGTGCTTGGCCCAGAGCATGGCACATAGTAAATGTTGATTAAGTAAAGATGCTGGAACAGGCTTTGTCCTCCTAATACTTTCCTCTTCTTCTTGGGGCTCACCCCTGGAAGACAAAAAATTGGTTCAAGTTACCTCTCTGGATTCCACCTCTGAAACTTTTTTTATCCTCGCCTGTTCCTTATGGAAGCCATTTCAATATGGATCTTGATTTTTATCTCAGTTTACTCCTTAGATATTAAGTTTCTAAATTTCTCTTGCTTTCTGGCCTGCACTCATCTAGGACTTCTATTTTGATTTTCTCCTTAGCCTGGGTTCCCAAACCCAGAACAGGAACCAGCCTGTTTACTCCTCTGCCCACATGCCCAGATTCTGTCTGGAGACCCATTAAGTGCAAGAGGCATTTCCTTAACTAGCGCTCCCTTGTCCCTGTGTCCCCACCATCACAGACCATGCTTCCCCTGGCCAGGATGATGGCTGGAACAGCAAGAACTAGGGCTTTAGTTGACTTTAAGTATAATATAGATGCTACAAAAGCACATACTTTTGTATAATTCATTAGTAGAAGTATAACAAATATCATGAGATAAAGTAGCCCCATTATACTCCAGATCCAATATGGGCATCATATATACAGATAATAAAAATATAATCTAAAGAAAGCAAACCAGAATGCAGAAAGATTTTCAGTGCCTCTCTGGGAGAACATACAACCTAGGGGAAGATTTATATATATATATATAAAATGTGTATACACATCTCTATGACCTTAACACCCTTTATATAGTATTATATACTCTGTGTATATGTGTGTGTATACTATATATATATATATATATATATATATATATATATATGTATATATATATATATAATGCTATATATAGTTTAATATGTATATGCTAAGTATTAAGAAAAGATCCTGGATGCCAAATATTCTATTGAGCATTTATATACTAGGAGAGAAGTTGGACTACATAATTTCTAAGCTCTCTCTACTATCTGAAATTCCAATCCTATGAACTTCCAGAGTAGCCATTTCAGCCTGTTTTCTATATTTATACATGTAGTTTTCTGATTGGTCCTACTATACTGCAAACTGCTTGCATACAGGGATATTACCTCCTAATCACCGTTGCTACTCTTATGAGGTTAAATACTTAATATACAGATTTGCTCCATAGATATCTGATGAATAAATGGATGGGTGGATGGATGGGTGGAACAAACAAAAGCATGTGGGTTCTTTAAGGAGGTTTTCTGTGATCTTAAGAAATCCTTTGACTTTTTTCCTCTAATTAATAAAATGGACATTAACTAACAGCCCTACTGGTTTGCAATGCCAGAGGAAATAGCTAATGTATGAATTTAAAGATACCGGAAATACAAAAATATTAGGCAAAACATCGTAAGAGTACTCCATCAATGAATCTTTGTTCCTGTTTCAAATCTCATTAAAATTTGACTTTCTGGGACGCCTGGGTGGCTCAGTCGGTTAAGTGTCTGACTTCAGCTCAGGTCATGATCTCGTGGCTCATGAGTTCAAGCCCCGCGTCGGGCTCTGTGTTGTCAGCTCAGAGCCTGGAGCCTGCTTCAGATTCTGTGTCTCCCTCTCTCTCTGCCCCTTCCCCACTTGCGCTCTGTCTCTCTCTGTCTCTCGAAAATAAGTAAAAACTTCAAAAAAAAATTTTTAAATGAATAATGGTTAAAAATTAAAAACAGTTTTTTTTTAATTCCCCCCCCAAATATAGAGTTTTATAGCAGACATTTAAGGCTCAGATGCATTTTTATCTTAGATTAATTTTTTTAGACTATGCCACATTCCTTGTAAGAAATCTTTATGGGGCCATAAAACCTTTTTGTGGCATGCATTAGAACATATTAACTGAATAATATAGCTTTAGTTATACTACCTAAATTCAATGAGATAAATGAAAAATGTGTACTTCATTAATTATCAGCAACAATAGCATAAACACATTCTTATTAAGCGTCAAAGCAAGGGGTGCCTGAGTGGCTCAGTCGGTTAAGTGTCCGACTTCAGCTCAGGTCATGATCTCACTGTTGGTGGGTTCAGGCCCCACTTCGGGCTCTGTGCTGACAGCTCAGAGCCTGGAGCCTGCTTCATATTCTATCTCCCTCTCTCTCTGCCCCTCCCCCACGTGCACTCTGTCTCTCTCTGTCTCTCAAAAATAAATGTTAAAAAATTAAAAAAAAAAAGTCAAAAAGCAAGACGTAATTCAATTTTTTAAGAGTGATATGAGTTTGTGCTTGTCATGGACATGTTTTGAGTTATCTGCCCCCACCCCCATCCTATCCACCGTATTCACAGCTCCAGTTATATAGACCTGTGTGAGTCCCTGACCAAAACTGGATTCATTTCATCACAGACTCTTTCTCCAAAATCTGAGCTTGAAATTAGCTGTGAGGCTCTTTCCTCATAGCAGTGCCCATAACATGTTAACCTCAGTGCTTACTTCTGCCATATTTCCCACTGTCTTCCAAATAATCAGAGGAAAATTTCCCTATGCATTTGCTATTTTTATAATTATCTTTATATTGTGTATGTACATATTATTGAGTCTATGCTGATTACAGTCTCCTGGAGAGAATTAATATTGAGTTAATATTAATTTCATTAATATTTGGGTTACAAGTTATGTTTGTTTTAAGACTATTGGGGTATCTAGTGAAATCCAAAAACACACAGCCAGATAATGACAGTATCAAGGTTAGAATAATGTTTATTGATTAATCTTGTTGCTTGGACAATTACTGAAACTCTATTACTAAATTTTTTTTCTTTTCTCTTGAACATAGTCGTTCAATTAATCTCAGTAATACAGAATCCCTATTAAAGACACCTCTTTTGATATAGTATTGCAGTAAATATTCCTTAAGTTCTTCAAGATCCCAAATTGCTTTTTGAACTCTTTGCAAAAAATTAAACAGGAACCATAATTAGATGCTTATGATTTCTTCGTTCTGCAAAGTTGTGAGTTTGTATTTGTTCTATGTGAAAGCGCTGTAGAACAAATACTGAACTTCTATCGTAGAGGTAACAGAAGATACACTTTGTGAGAAGAAAGATTAGCTCCATGCCACCAGAGGGCGATCTAACCTAATTTTGTAGAGGTGTGAATCTCAGGAAGGGCGATTTAGAATCTGGAGTGAGCTCCAAATTGCTGAAAACATATACTTAGAACAAGAACATATACTTAGAAAATTAAAATAAGCATGCCCACAATCTCCCACTTTTTCCTGTTCGTACTTCATTGTTTCTAAAAATCCAGTTTCATTCATTAAGAACTTATTTACTGTTCACTACGCGCGTGACATTTTATTTCTCATCGTGATTATTTTTAATCCCCGCTATTGCCTCATTGCTGTCGGAGGTAATGACATAACAGAAGTGCTTCTTTAGGTAAAAAGATTATGTAGAAAATAACTCATGACAGTGTTTGAAACTCACTGCGTGGAATTGTAGGTGGCCCTGCACCGTTCCTAACATACAGGCCCCCAGGTGGGGAGCCTGTCCGTAGAGGCAGGCTTGATTTCAGGGTTGTGAGTTCAAGCCCCACATTGAGTGTAGAGCTTACTGGGGAAAAAAAATTCACTGAAGCACGTGTTCCATTAGCTTCCCTGTTTCCCTCCCCACTGTTGTTACAGCAAGAGTTCTGATAGTATTACCCAAATTCCTACCAGACAAGTAGAAAGCCATTTCCTCCTTCTTTGTCAGCTAGTAATGGAAACAGCCTATGAAACAAAACGTTTTGTTATACCCTTTCCTGGGCATTTTGCTCTTCTGGTGAAATAATCTGCATTCTTTTTAGCTTCTTTGCAGAAGAACTTTTCTAGCATTTTGGCACCATCTTCTAGAACAAGTGGATTGGTTCAAGACATTTTCAGCACACTCTTGTCCCAACCCCCTGCATTAGTCTGCCTCTTGTGGTGCCAAGTGCATCACTGGTTAAGTGGCAGGTGTTTTCTTGTTTACTTTGGTTTTAATTCAAGCATATCCCAGAGCCAACCATTCAATCAGAATTCATGCTGCTCTCTGTTCCTTCAGCGGCACGTGAAAGCAGTCCCCAAGCCCTTCTCCAGACAAACATCCTATCACTCCCTGAAATCTGCCCTTTGATTCTCAAATGCAGCTACTGGGCAAGTCACAGTCCCCTCCCTGCTGAAAGATCTTTTTTGGGCCTATGGCTGGCACAGCCCAGCTTGCAGGGGCCTGAGAGGGGGGAGCCTTTGAAGTTAGGTGGCTACTGTCCTCGGCCGGTGCACATCGCACACAGCATTCATCCCTAATAATATCTCATGAAGACAATCTTTCCTGGGAAACAAATCAGGCGGCCGCTCCAGTCTATGTGATAGGCTTCCAAGCCATGTGTCACACTGCAAATATGTGCGCATCAAGGGGTATGTTTTCCTGGCTCCAGACCTGAAAACAAACTCTGTCCCAAGACTTAGTCAGCAGCCCAAGGACCCATAGCAAACAGACACAGTACCCGGTCAAACCCATGCACTTTCTGCTCCAGCCAGAGAAGCACCTATTCAAGCACAAATTGGATCTTGCTGGAATGAAGGGGGATTTTGCAAATTCATACACAGCAGGTCAAAGTGGAAGCACGTTTTCTTTAGTAAATGAGTGGTCGACCTCTCCTTCCTCCTTTTCCTCCAACTTCAGGCTTTTTCTGAGAATGAAAAAGAAACAAAACAAGATCTGTTTTTTCCTTTCCCATTCTCAGCAAGGACTGCGGGAAACAATAGGTCTCTCTAGTGCTTAGCATATTAAATATTAACTACCAAATAAGAACAGAAAGTCCCTTTCCCAGCCCCGCTTTTCTGCCTAATACAAAGAAATATTAGCTATATAATAGTAGTTAGCCATATTTTGTAGGTCTTTTGTTGTGCTGGGCACCCATGATAAGGACTTGCTATACATCACATCATTTAATTTTGACCACAACCATTTCAAGTCCTATTACTATTATTCCCATTATACAGATAGGGAAACTGAGGCTGACAGAGCAAATAGGAAATTTACTCCAAATCTCACAGCCAGTAAGATGAGCTCTGACTCAGTGCTTGGAACCATACTCT